ATCAGCCCCATTCAAAATGAGTGGGGGTGAACTACCACCTGCTCAAGATAAATAAATACAAGGTTTCAAACTAAAATGAAACAAAACATATTAGTTTACAAAAGCTTTAACTTTGAATGATATTCCAGCAACCTATAGTACATGTCATAAAATTTATCAACCCACAACCAGAGAAGTGAATTGTCAAATAAAAGTCAAACTAAAGGTCAAAATATTACCTTCAACTCTGGGGTAGACAGCAATTTTAGAAGAGACAATTGTTTTCTCCTCACCTAGTGAAAATTTCAAATCCACCTGAACAGTATTTTTAGAAATGCATTAACATACCATACATCTACGCCCAGTGAACTGTCATGCACAAGTATACATCACTTGGGGGCATGTGTGTGTTACATGTCATACCGTATCAAAGTAGTAATCAGGCTGCTTGTAATCCTTGAGAAAGATTTCTTTTGGTGCCTCCATCTTCGAGTCTTCAACTTGCTTTGGTAATGGTTCAGTGGCAATAGCACAGATTAACCTCCGGTTGTTTATTCTTTTCTGCTATGTTCAGTCAAAAAATACACAGAAAAACAATGTAGGTGAGGCATGGAAAGCAACAATCTCCACTCAGGGTAGTGATGAAAGCATCATCTATAAAAGCTTACAGGAAATGAAACGTTTGGAAAACGATACTTCCTCCAATCTGTAACCTGGTTGGAAAAATGGATAACAGAATTCAGAGGGTCAAATGGTACAGATTTATGAGCAATAAACCTTAAGTGCAACTGGCCAAGAACTCAAAAAGAGATTCAAAAATACAAAAACAGATAAAGAAGCGAGGTTGCAGAAGCTAGAACATCAAACATGCATGAACCTCAGAAGTAAAGGATTGTCTGTGTCTACAGATACTCCTTGCTGAGTGCCCAACTGAACTAACACGACAAGACTGGAACTGCATACCAAAAAATGGAAAGTAATCACTCAGATGATACAAATGTACTGTTCGAAGAGTAAACTAAGGACGTTACATATAAAAGAAATATCATAATTATATTGGAATGAATAAACAAACCATATTAAGGAAACAAATCTAAATCAAACCCAAAACCCAGAGAAAGATTTGGTAATACAGAAAATCCCAACAAAAATGAAATCATGCTTTAAAAAAAGCTAATTAAGGCAACAAATCTAAATCAAACCCAAAAGGCCAAAACCCATAGAAAGATTTGGTGTCTTGCACCAAATCCTAACAAAAATAAAATCATGCTTAAAATAAACAAGCAAAAAGGTAAGAATTTTCCTTGCCACCAAAAGGAGTAGAAACAAGTTAGAAATAATAATCTGCCTGAAAAAGTTTGGACTTTCTTATAGACTAGAATTGCTACAAACACCTATACTGTACTTAAGCAAAACACATTCCCACGCTAGAACCTTGCAACCTCAACACACTACAACCATGTCAAACTCTCTACATCAACCCATCTTCTCAGAAACAATCAAGCAGATAAATGAAAGAACAAATGATGGTAGAAAAAGGAATCAGATAATCACAGGAGCAGAGGAGATCAAACCCAAGAGACAAGTCTTCGACAAAGTTGAAACCTTGTAGGGCATAACCAACCGAGCCATCGTCCACTCTCTCTACTCCTAGGTAATGTACTACTATCAATAATAGTAACAATCAGTTACACAGTCCAACTCCCATTAACCCTCATTAAAGTTCAACTCCACACGCAATAAGCAACCCCAGATACGCTAAACCCAATAAATCCCAGAAAGAACAACAGAACCCAACCCCCAGGACTAGATATAAGGTAGCGACCCAGTAATAAGAAACAAAAGAAAGGATTAGTGTTTCTTACGTAGAAGCCGCATAAATATAAATGGATAATAACTCAAGAATGAGGACAAGACAAAAAAAAAAAAAAAAAAAAAAAAAAAAAAAATACCACATAGATTTAGATTTTAGAAATCAATATAGGATTCCCGAAAATCAATCGGAAAAAAATGAGAAAAAAAAAATAGATTTGATCTTTGAGCTCTACCTATCTCGGTGATTAAACGTGGACCGAAAACAAACAACGAATGCGAGAAAAGTGAGGATGAAAGGTACCTTTGCAGCGAGTATTAACGGGGGTAAAGATGACGATAACTGGGACAGTGATGATAAATTTGGGAGCTGGTTAAGCAGTTATTTATAAATCCATTATCCTCGTAGATTTTTAGGTTTGTTTATTCTCTGAAAAGGTCCCACCTTCCTCTAATCCAACTCTTTCAATCGGATTCGGAGTCCGAACAATCCGGGTACAACTTATCCAAACAAAACAATCCGGGTCCAATTGAAACCCGGATATTGGGCCTCCGGCAGAGAGCATATTGGGCTTTCTTTGTTTTTGGGTGCATATTTAGAAAACCAGTCATTATATCATAGACCGCGGTGCATGCACCGCGGTAAAAAACGGCACCGTTTTTTTTAAGTAAAAAAATGGTCCTTCGTTATTGTTAAAGGAGTCCATATATTTGGTGTATTAAACATCAACTGACACTACAGTACATCTAAACGGACACCGTCTCACGTATTATTTTTATATTATTAAATGAAACTGCAGTTATTTAAAAATGATATTGTAGTTGTGGTGAAATGAAACTGCAGTGTATATAAAATGAAACTGAATAACATTTCACATATTTGAGTGTATATTGTACAATGAAGCTATAATTATATCAAAATGATCATGTAGTTGTGTTTTAATAAAACTATAGTGTATATAAAATAAAATTAAATAACATTTTCACATATTTGAGTCTATAAATATCGAATGAAACTGTAGTTATATCTAAATGAAACTGTAGTTGTGTTGAACTGAAACTGCAGTGTATACAAAATTAAACTGAATAACAGAGTCCAATTCCCTACCATCAACTGCTAACGACACTTTAATTGTGATGATCCCGAAGAAGTCCAAGCCTGAAACAATGATGGATCTCCGCCTGATAGCTTTATGTAATGTCATTTATAAAGTGGCTGCAAAGGTGTGTGCGAATTGGATGAAATCCCTACTTGAGGGGCTTATATCTCCAGCTCAGAGTGCTTTTGTTCCCGGACGGCTTATCAGTGACAATATTATGTTAGCGTACGAAGTTCATCACTTCCTAAAGCGCAAGACTCAGGGACAGATTGGTTGGGCGGCATTGAAGGTAGACATGCGTAAAGCTTATGACCGGGTAGAATGGCGGTTCCTAGAGGCTATGTTGCTGAAGTTGGGTTTTGATCAGAAATGGGTGGCTATTCTTCTGGAAACCATTTCTTCGGTTAAGTACCATGTCATGCATGACCAGCGACGCTATGGCCCGATAGTCCCCAGTCGTGGTCTCCGTCAGGGAGACCCACTCTCACCCTATTTATTCATAATTGTGGCAGAGGGGCTTAGTGCTTTTATTGACAAGCAGATGCGGCAGGGTAGCTTGTATGGTATCACGGTGGCTCGGGGAGTGTAATCCATTTGTCACTTACTGTTCGCCGACGACTGTTTTCTTTTCTTCAAGGCAAATGCCCAGGAAAGCATGAATATGAAATTGGTTCTGGATACTTACGCAGCTGCTTCTGGCCAGAAAATAAACCTCAATAAATCCACTATCTGCTTCAGTGCGAATGTGGGAGTGCAAACCCGTGAAGGTGTGGTCGGAACTCTGAGCGTCCGGGAAGGACAAACTGTTGAACGATACCTGGGCTTGCCATCTTTGGTTGTTCGAAGGAAGAAACAGATCCTCGATTTCTTAAAGGATCGTATGCTGGATTAAATACGAAGTTGGAACTCTCGCTTCCTTTCCCGTGCGGGTAGGAAGGTGCTTCTGAAGAATGTTGTTCAGGCAATGCCATCCTATGCTATGATGGTGTTTCTTCTGCCTGTGGGCCTGTGCAACAAGATGGAAATGCTTATGAATGAATATTGGTGGACGGGCTCGGTGGGATCAGGGAAAGGGATAAGGTGGCGTTCGTGGGGAGGTTTGTGTGCCCCTAAAGCAACTGGAGGCTTGGGCTTTAGGAGGCTGCATGAGATAAACCTTGCATTATTAGGAAAGTAGGCCTGACGCCTTATCACGAAACCCTCCTCATTGGTCACAAAGGTATACAAGGCTCGCTATTACCCGCATACTGATTTTTTTTAGGCCAAGGATGGGGCTAATCTGTCTTATATTTGGCGTGGGTTATTAGCTGTACAGAACATAATGAGAAACGGCTGCCGGCAAGCAATTGGGAACGGGTACGACACGCTGATTGGGAACACACCATGGCTGCCTGATGATAACGACCCATACATACAAACCGGGGTGCTTGGGGTTATTGCAAATGCTCCGGTCTCATCCTTACTAAACGAAGAAGGTACATCATGGGATAGGGATTGTGTGAACGATATTTTCATTGAACGTGATGCTGAGTTGATTTTGAAAATTCCCATTAGCGTTTGGAAACCACATAATTCTTGGGTTTGGCATTGGGATAGTAAAGAGGCGTATACTGTAAAGTCGAGCTATCGCCGACAAGGGGGCTTATTGCATGACGATAGACCATGGCGGTTGCTTTGGAATGCCAATGTACCACCAAAGGTCAAGACCTTTGGTTGGCAGTTGGCGTCGTCTTACCTGCCAACCCGGGATGCGCTTAGAAGGAAACATCTTGATTGTAATTTGATGTGCCATATGTGCAGGCCGGAGGAAGAGTCAGCCACGCATATCTTTGCATCTTGTCCGGAGGCTGTGCGAGCGTTTAGCATGGTTGGTTTGCCTATTGTTTATTATTATTGTTGTAACACTTAATATTTATGTGGTAATGGCTTAGTCTTATATGACTTGCCTATTAGTCAGGAGTAGTTTACGTTATGTATCTCTCTTTTGTATTGTACTTTCAGTTAGATTGTAACAGTGTTGATTATCCTAATCTCATCTGGTTATCAGCAAGCCTATCGATCCTCTCCTAACCTCTATCCTACCCGTCGACTTTTTCTCTCTGATTAACAATGTCGACGAATTCCTCCGAGCGCACGGTCAACGATGCCACCGTTGCTGCTCTGGCCACCACCCAAAACTCCCTCTCCTCAGCCAACCATTTCGTTTCCATAAAACTAACCTCCCGGGACTTCTTTTTTTGGCGCACCCAACTAGTTCCGTTCCTCCGTGGCCAAGGTCTCCTAGGCTACGTAGATGGCGATATGCCCTGTCCACCACCCACGATCGAAGTGCTTCCCACTGGCGACTCTGCATCTGGAACGACGCCGGCTGTCTCCACCGCCAATCCCGCACACGCTGTCTGGGTGCAGCAGGATCAAAGTATCATATCGCTTCTAATTTCGTCGCTCTCAGATGAAGTTATGTACTTAGCGGTCGGAAGGCACACCTCGCGCGAAGTATGGCTGTCGATAACGACCGCACTCGGCTCATCTTCTCGAGCCTGCTGTCTAAGCCTCCTTGGACAGTTCCAGAATCTCCGCCAAGGCAATCTCACATCGGCGGATTTTCTTGGACGTGCACAACTGCTTGTTGAAGCTCTTGCTCAGGCCGGACGCCCCATTTCACTGGACGAACAAAACATGTATGTTTTCAGGGGTCTCCGTCCAGAATTTCGGGCGCTTGCTGCGTCGCTCACGGTCACCGGCACTCCGGTAACTATCCCGCAGCTCTCAGATTATTTGCAGGCGCAAGAATTCATGTTTTCATATGATTATCCGGCGTCGGGCAATGGGATCGTGGCAAGTTCTCCGGCTGCAATGTACGATGGACGTGGGCAGTCCGGCGGAGGTGGCTCTGGCAATTCCCGCGGCGGTCATGGACGAGGCAGACACGACCGAGGTCGCGGAGGCAGTGCTGGTCGTGGCCGGAATGGTGCGCCGCGCTGTCAGATTTGCCGGTCGCACGGGCACACCGCCGTCTACTGCTTCAAGCGGTACACTACCCAGCCTCCGGCACAAGCCAACAACAACAACAAGGTTGGCTTTATCCAATGTTTTAATTGTGCCAAATTTGTCGGTTCCGTTGTTATCTGTACATCGATTTACAAATAAAAACGGTGTATATTTTGAATTTCATAAAAATTGCTTTATTGTGAAGGAATCCGTCACCAAGGCGATATTGCTTAAAGGTCCCGCTTCGGGTGGTCTGTATAAACTCCCGGTGTCTCACATTCATGTTGCGTTCCTTAGCTCCCGGGCCACTCCCGGGGTGTGGCATCGTCGGTTGGGTCACCCACACGAGCAAGTCCAAAATCGTGTCCTAAGGTCTTGTCCTGTCGTTGCAAATAAAACAGAGGCGAACCGATCATGCACGGCGTGTCATCTTGGCAAATCTACGCAATTTCCATTAGATAGGGTGGCATCCTCTAGTCGAAATGTCTTAGATCTTTTGTATACGGATATTTGGGGCCCTTCGCCCGGTATTTCTGTTTATGGTTTTAGATATTTCCTTTTATTTGTAGATGATCATTCCCGGTTCTGCTGGTTTTATCCATTAAGGGTAAAGTCAGACATCTATAAAAACATTTATTCTTTTCGCGTTATGGTAGAACGCCGATTTTCACGTTCTATCAAATGTATACAGTCGGATCTAGGGGGTGAGTACCAAAAATTGCACAAAACATTCCAAACTCTCGGTATTGTGCACATACAGTCGTGTGCCTACACATACGAGCAGAACGGCAGGGTTGAGCGCCGAAATCGACATATTGTTGAAACAGGGTTAGCTCTCCTTGCCGAAGGCTAAGTACCCTTGGAATACTGGGATTATGCCTTCGAAACAGCAACCTGTCTAATTAACTACTTACCCTCATCTGTACTACAGTTTGAGAGCCCATACACTCGTCTCTACAAAATAGCCCCCCATACACTTTTCTACGAGTCTTTGGGTGCCGATGTTACCCCTATCTCAGGCCTTATAACCGGTACAAGATAGAATTCCGGTCAGCACCCTGTGTCTTCTTAGGTTACCCCCGTCCTTTAGGGGATATAGGGTGCATGGACCTAACAACTGGAAAAGTCTTTGTCTGTCGCCATGTCCGATTTGATGAGACTTCTTTTCCTTTTTCAGAATCATCTTTGTAGGGTACAGAACAGTCCAACGCAACATCCACCGCGTGGGGCGCTGGACTCACCATACCGCACATGCAGTCAACACCGTTGGCAACTAGCCCCCCTCCGGCTCCGCCTGATATGGGTCCTGCGCCCATCGCACAAGACCCGGCACCCATGGCTATAGAAGGGCCCAAGGCGACCCGCACACGCGCTCGCGCTCGGAGTCGTCCCCAGGAACGAGATCACGGTATGCGTGTACGTCACATGACTCGTGGCACTGATGAACCGTTTCAAGCTTTGACTATTACCATCGATCCGACGTGCTATTCTCAAGCTGTAGGCCATCCGGAGTGGCGGGATGCCATGGACCAGGAGTTTAAAGCTTTGCTTCACAACAACACCTGGCGGTTAGTCCCGGCCGAGCCTCACATGAATTTAATTGGGTGCAAGTGGGTTTTCCGAACCAAACGCACCGCCGATGGTAAAGTTGAGCGATACAAAGCCTGACTAGTCGCCAAAGGGTTTAATCAGGTGGCAGGCGAAGATTTCTTTAATACGTACAGCCCGGTGGTAAAACCCACAATAGTCCGTTTGCTATTTTCTATAGCTGTTTCGAAACGGTGGACTCTGCGTCAACTGGATGTTCACAACGCCTTCCTCAACGGGCACTTGGCTGAAACCGTGTATATGAAGCAACCACCTGAGTATGAAGACCCTACACATCCCAACCAGGTCTGTCACCTCCAGCACTCTCTCTATGGCCTCAAACAAGCGCCACAGGCTTGGTTTAAAAGATTACATGACTACTTGATCTCTGTAGGTTTTGCGTCCTCCAAGACCAATGTTTCCCTTTTTCACTACTCCACTGGCGTGTCTCGTGTGTTTTTGCTAGTGTATGTCGACGACATCATAATGATGGGGGATGATGCAGGTCTAATTGATAGCCTTCTGAGCCGCCTGTCCACGGTGTTTAAGATTCGGGACCTTGGCACTCTGAGTTTCTTTCTTGGCATCGAGACACTGCACATTGAAGATGGATTAATGCTCTCATAGCGCCTGTATATGGGTGATCTCTTAACTAGGGCTGGAATGACTGACTGCAAGCCTTTGGCCACACCAACTGCTCTCAGTCAACCAGTCACGGCGTCCGCAGAACCACACGACAATCCAACATAGTATCGGCGACTAGTAGGGGCCCTACAGTATCTCACCATTACACGACCAGATCTGTCGTATACTGTGAACCGGTTGTGCCAGTTTATGCATTCTTCGACTACTGATCACTGGGTCTACTTAAAAGGGTATTGCGGTATATCAACGGCACACTTGACTACGGTTTACGGCTACAGGCGTCTCCTTCTACCGCGATTCATGCCTTTTCAGACTCTGATTGAGCCGGGTGCCAGGTCGACAGCAAGAGTACTAGTGGGTATGCCGTCTACTTAGGGTCCAACCTCATTTCATGGCTTTCCAGGAAGCAACGCACGGTGGCCCGTTCCTCTACCGAGGCCGAGTACAAGCGTTAGCCGATGTCTCAGCAGAAGTCACATGTGTTGTATCTTTGCTTCAGGAACTCCGGCTCCATTCTGCTGAACCAGCCACCCTCTGGTGTGATAACTTGGATTCTACCTATCTCTGTGCCAACCCAGTTTTTCATGCCAGGACCAAACACATAAAGATTGATTTCCACTTTGTTCGGGACAAGGTGGCCTCCGAGGAGTTTACAGTGAATTTTGTGTCAAACAAAGATCAGATTGCAGGCGTCTTCACCAAACCCCCTGCCAGGACCACGGTTTGCCGCGCTACGAGACAAGCTCAATGTTGTCTCACACCACCCTTGAGCTTGAGGGGGTGTGTTAGTAATGTTATTATTAGTGTTTATTATTATTGTTGTAACACTTAATATTTATGTGGTAGTGGCTTAGTCTTATATGACTTGCCTATTAGTCAGGAGTAGTTTACGTTAGCTATCTCTCTTTTGTATTGTACTTTCAGTTAGATTGTAACAGTGCTGCATGAGTGGTTTTTTTGCTGTCTGTCTGTGTTGCAAGCTGATTTAGTTCCTAAATTTTTTATGGTATGCTGGGGAATTTGGTCCAGTCGAAATGCATGTGTTTGGAAAGGGGCAGTTTTTTATTTAAGCTTAATTGTCAACCATTCACTTATGTTTCTAGATCATTGGTTGGCGGCGAATGAGGATACTACTGTGCCCGCTGCTCCGCGCCAAGATGATAGCTGGAAGAAGCCGTAGATGGGCCGCCTGAAGATGAACACTGATGTTGCAATCGACCATTCTAATAACACTATGGGCTTTGGCTGGGTTGTTAGGGATGATGATGGTACATTCCTAGCGGCAAAGAATATGAATGTACCCAGTGTATACGATGTGAAGGTGGCTGAGGCCATGAGCATGCGGGAGGATCTAAGTTGGTTCAAGAACACGGGGCTCGGAGAGGTGGATGTAGAGACAGATTCACAACTTTTGTTTAATGCAGTTTCTGGACCTCCTTTTTATTCTGCTTTCAGTTTAATTGTTGGCGATATAAAAGAATTAGCATCATCTATTATGGATGTTGATTTTTGTTTTGTCAAGCGATCTGCGAATCGCGCCGCCCACATTGTTGCTAGGGGGTCGTTTCTGAGTCATGTTGCGGGGAGTGGCTTGGTGTTCCTCCTCCTTTTCTTGTTCATTGTCTTACTGATGATTTAATGAATTAAGCCTTTATTCTCAAAAATGAATACTAAGTTCAATCATTATTAAACTCTTAAATTGCTATGTACTGGTATCCTTCTTCATCTTCCTTGATCCAATTACTTTCTTGGGCCAGTCTATGTGGCCCAAACCCTTTTGGTTGACTAATCTGACCGGTCAGCTCAGTATACCATCCATCATCTAGTCTTCCACTTTCTTGAGATTTCGCAAAGTCGATGTCTCAAGAAAGTATTTCAAAAATATTCTCTAACCAGTTCACCACTTCTAAATGCCAAGTCTTATCCCGACCAGTTACGTACTCCTCATCCAACGCATCATTGAATGGGTGTGACCGTTTAGGTAGTGTCCTTTTGGATGCAACTATTAAACTGAGCGGTCCTCGGTGAGCCCCCTAAGTCAGAGATGAGCATGTGGGACATAGATTACGCTGGTTGCCTTGTTAAAAATCTTACACTATGAAAAATCAATTAGGATTTTTTTTTTTTTTAGAAAAAAGACTAATTCATTAATCATAAATATAAGGGTTTACAACAAGGTTCGATGGAATGGTAAGTAATTCCTTATAGTCTGACACATAAACAACTTCTATAGCTATGTTATAGAAAACTTGATTCGCAGACTGTTTCACAAATTAGAAGCTGTGGTCCTCAAAGGAACTCAAAGTTTCTTTAAAGTTATTAATGATCTGGCCAAACATAAACAAGATTAACTCTGGTAGCGCACACCACCTGGGTATTTGTCTCCACACTTCTGTCCATTAACAATATTCGCGTCCGAAAATACACATCCGATTTTAGCTCAGTGAAAAATTTGACCAGTTTTTCAGAGGGTAGTCTACCAATCGAGCCGAACTGCATAATATAGTTCAGAAGAGGCAATTTTTCATTGTCATCTTCGTCCCCCAAGATGAGTTTTACATACGCCATGACCATTTTTTGATTCACGCTCTATGAAAACCTCGTTAGAAAAACAAGAAGAAAAAACCCATCAAAGAAAATAGATAAAATACACAAATTTGCAAAACAACAAAAACAAAGAAACAAAAGTACACAAAGTAAAGATAGAAGTGGGTGGCAAAATTGACAATCCCAACCACAAAGCACACATGCACCCCTAGGTTTTCCCGTACTCAAAGCCACAACCTCAAAAACCAAACACCACTACTACGGATTGAGGAAAACGGTAGCTTGGCTATGGATGGAGATGGAGGAGAAGATGAATGAAGAGATGTGGAGAGAGGTGGAGGAAGTGGCAATTGCTCCGACAGGCGTCGTCGCGCCCGCCTCCTGGTCAACAGACAACATGAGTTTAATCGCCTCGTTCCGAGCCAATTGAGCGAGAGAGGTCTGTAACTTCCTAGTGCTCCCCTACTTGTTCAAGACCGGGTCCTGAGGCAACTCATCGTTCGGGCTTTGATAGGCTTGTTGAGTGGGTCGTGCGTCGGGAAGTCAGTGGGATTAATGGGGGACCATAGAGGGAGGAGGAACCACACGAGCATAGAAATAGATGGGAGCGTAGAGACGTCGCTCACAGACATATGAAAACCTACTCGGTGCACGAGAGTAGCACCGAGTCACCCGTAGGACCCGGTAGGGTTCGGGATAACAATGGGTCGGGGAGGGCTACATTCATCACCCGACCCACCTTATATTTTCTCCACCTACCCCCACCCCAACCCGCATCGGGTGGACTTTTTCAAAACTCACCCCACCCCCACCAGGTGCCGGTGCC